TCTTCCATTTTTCTGTGGTGGGGTGATAGGCTGGATGGTTTTGACGTCATTTCATAAGAAGCACCCTGTGATGATAACCCTCTACAAACCCGATGCAAAGTGTGGTCCCTGAACTGGCAGCGCCTCCGTCACTTGGGAGTTGGTTGTATCTGCCGCATCTCAGGCCCCACCTACTGAACCCAGATCCCCACTTTGCAAGGTGACCAGGCGACTCCTGTGCATAGTAACATTTGAGAAGCACCATCTACAGTTCTCTGGAATTCTAGTCTGAGGTGGTGTGAGTCTCGTGTATTGTAACTTGTAAGAGGTGGCAGCCCATGTGGTAGCTAGTACCTGTGTGTCTCAGCAACCACCAGTGAGTCAAATCCCACAGTCAAAAGCAAGCTATGCAAAACACAGGCCTTCCTGCTCAGGCGCCACTCCACACGACCCCGTCAAATGGCTGCTGTACCCCACTTCACATCAGAACAGTTAAATGTCTTACGCAGAGCGCGCAGCTAACGGTGAGGACAGCTCGCGCCAAGGCCAGGTCCCAGTGGGAAGCTGAGGGCGCCTCTGTCCATCTCCGCTTTGCCACACTCGCTTCCTACGTCTCAGCTCCCTGTAGGCGGCGTCTTACCCCTGGAGACGGCTTCTCCGTGCTCGTGGCGACATGGGGGTGTATTAGGGAAGGTCAGCAGCCCACCCCGGGGTACCACTTGGCAAAGGTGACTCACAGTGAGTTGTCGGCACTAAACGTTCACTGGAGACCCACAGAACTGACCCACACACGGAGCTGGGAATTGAGTGTGTGGTTTGAGAAAAGATAGTTTATTTGGCAATTAAATGTAGTGTGATCAGCTTTGTTCAATGATTGCTAATCATGTGATATGTTTGTTTTTTGGCCTCTAGGGGCAGCATCTTAATTTACTGGAATATCACATGCCAAAAAGACGGGAGTGCTTAGCTGACCTGTTCCGAGTTCTTGAGGACAATAAGACCTTGTTGAACATCAAACATTACTCCATTAACCAGACCACTCTGGAGCAGGTAGAGTATCTTGAAGGGGTCACCAGGTTGCATTTACTACGTTCCAGAGGCCTAATCCAGCCAATTTACAAATTAGCCAGATTACTTCTGGGGGTCACCGTTTGTTTAATTCATCACTGTTAGATTTTACTAAATGCTGGTAAGGATGCTGAGTGTTAGGTTCGTTTATTGTCTGCTCTCCACTCAAGGTACATTTGCAGCAGGGCCCCAGGTTGTTGCCTGTCTATGGAGAGTTAGGAGGGGTGGTGTGAGTGACGGAGTGGCAGTGCTGCGAGAGGGCCTGCTTTCCCGTGACACTTGGGAGCAAAAGGCGGAGCACCCCTACAGGTTAACAGCCACTGTCATTTTCAGGTATTTATGGAACTTGCCGCCGAGCGGACGCCACCGCCTGCCCCAACCCCCGATGGCGAGCAGCTGCCCCACTTGCCTGTCTAAGGCCCAGGAAGATGTTTTAAGAGGAACCAAACCTTGGCTTTTGTTACAATCAGTCCTCCCGGAGCAGAGAGGCGAGCGCGGGGAGAAGCTGGAAGACCCGCGCCAGGCAGGCACACGGCGCGCTCCCCAGCACTGTGGAAACTCGTTGTGAACTAGCGATCCTCAGACTGAAAGGTCTTTCTTTCCTGCACACTTTTGGGGTGCTCCTCCAGCACACGCACTCTCTTAGCCAAGCCAAGGTGGCCCAGGTGTGACTGAATCCGGAGTCCAGGCAGGTAGGCAGTTTGGGCCTGGACAGGCGGTCAGAGATGGTCCATTTCAAACATTCCATTTTGCTTTTAGGGAGCCTGAGGCCCCCAACATTAAAAGCATTACTGACTTATTTGTATAGAAAATAGTACCTAGGGCTGTGTTCTATTTTTTCAGCTTTTTACTAGATATGCTTACACGTGCCTAAATAAAAATTCAATGATTTAAATGCAAACTTTTCCTTATACTGGATGACATTTTATGGTGTGACATGAAAAAAAAGGCCACTTTTTTCTTCTAAAAGATGCTTTTTAATCAACAGTTTTTTAGTTAATGCTTTAGCAAAATTAAATAAATTGAACTGGGTACTCTGAATCATTTATAAAAGTTTTATCAGACTTTCACAGATTATGATTTTAGAGGGGTATAGAAAAAAAATGATGTGGACGTATTTTCTTTTTATTAATTTGGATTGTAATTACCATTTTCGAATTATTTAAAGCCAGTGTTTTTCAAGTGTTGGCTGTCCCATATTAGCTGTGTCAGCAGGTCCTGGGGCTTGTTAGAATGCAGATTCTCAGGCCTCACCCAGGCCGGTGAATCGGAAACTCGGGCAGGAACCCCGCAATCTGGCTTTTAAACAAGCCTCCCTGGATTCTGACGCACATTTCAGTTTGAAAACTGGTGATCTAAGGAAATGACTAGTTACCTTCTCATTATACAAGCAAAATAAGCACAATATATAGTAGATAGGATTACTTCTAACATTTAAAATTTTTTCCAAGAACTCTGTCACTCTTAGAATTATTGCCCTCAAAGTATTTTCACATTTAAATGCTGAGATGTGGCCTGAAAGGCTATGGAAACCTGACGCCTTGCATCTTGGGGTTGGTAAAAATCCATAAATCTGTGTGTCTACTGCTGAAAATAGTTTCCAGTGAGACATTTATGAGTTGAGATATTTCTCAACCTTCTCTGAATAACATTTTCTAAACTCTCAATGGAGGACTGGATTACTCATTTTAAAATTTAACCTTATCCAATTAAGTTTTTGAGTAATAGTAGCTTGTGATGAAAGGGAACCACTTTCTGGTGACATTTCATACTGAAGCATGATTTCTTTAAAATCTATCTTTCCTAAATGATCACTTTATACTAGAGTTATTTTTATATTATAAGGATTAAGCTGATTGTAGATAGTGTTCATTGAATGATTCGATCCACATGAACTGTACTTTCTTAAAGGAATTAGAGTTTTATGATTTTCCCTCCAATACTAATATTGTCTCATTGTCAGAATGGAAGTTGTAATCGTTTGTCATTGTTGTTGAATCAGTAAATAAAATTTGTCAGACACGAATGTGTTTATACTGCAGTGAATAAATGAGCCATGCTTTAATTTCACCTGCCTCTTGGAATGTAATTGTGTTTTTGCCCACGTTTCCTTGACTCTTTGGGGAGCCAATTTAATTTAGGTGAAGAGGAAATGCAGCTTCCCGAGATCTCTTAAGCTTGCAAAGGTTAACGTTTAATTGAGTTTTACTCTGCTGCGCTCTGTTCCCAGGGATTTTTTCCTAGTCTTCAAGCTGCTGTATTCTTGGAGTCTGCTTCAAGGAATTCCCTTGAACAATAAACAGGAAGAAAAAAGAAACCCAACATGCGAAAATGTCATATCCCGGAAGACTGGACACAAAAGGTCAAACCCTATGTTAATGTTGAAAATGTCATTGCATTTATAAATCACGGAGGTGTGTTATGCCTTTGGACTTAAACATTTGTCTTAAGACCTTTGGGCTTAAGGTCACACAACTGAGACTTTTAAACAAACTATCTCCTTTTGAAAGTGCTCTGAGCGGGTCGCTTTGTAAGGCAGCAGTAACAGTGATTATTCCAGTTCCGGCAATCTAGCTTTTGTTATGCAGTTTCTCTTTACCAGGGTAGTTAAACAGATGGTGTATTACAGCCATCATGCCAGCCCAAGACTGTAAAAAGCGAACAAGTGTGTTTTTATAATAATAAAGAATAGGGGGCTTAAGGCCATAGGCAACTTGGTTTCGTGGACACCGAATTGGAAAGTAGGTCAACACGACTTCTCCAAAGCATCTTACAAAACATGCAGACCGCACACACCTGTTTATGAGTAGGACAGACACACTTAGCCACACATTTTCCTCCCCAAGAGGGGGATATAGACATTTAAAATTTTCAGACTGTCTGACCATGTAGCACCTTCGGCTTTTCTTTAGAGTGATGGTGCCAGCTCAGTGACGGGTCTAGTCTCGGGCACGTGTATGGCATGTGACACCTTGCTGTCACACACTGAGTAAGTCCGAGCCTTGCAGTCACACTGCATGCACACACACAGACGCATGCCCTTACTCCTTCATTAGTACTGAACCCATTCTATGCACATTAGTGGGTGGCAGTACGACAAACACAGGCGGTGGCCTAACAGGTGAAAAAGCCACCAGCTCTGTCCGTGGGAAGCACACCATGTCAGGTGGAGAAGGAAGATGAAACCTCTGGCTGCACACACTTCCTGCTCGGGGGCCACAGGGTCATTCTTCTAACTGAGAGGGGACCGACTTCATGGGACAGTTACCCTGCGTGGGCCTTCACCACGGAGAAAGGAGAGAGAACACCAGAGCACGTCAGCAGTACCCAGCGAGCATGGGGTGTCTGCCTGCTCCTCCGGCGGACACTGATGTAAGGCCATAGACGTCAGAACCCAGCCCTGTCACCTTCACAACCTCCCCGATACACCAAAGTGGCTGCTGGAGCTCTAGCTGTGACATAGAGCAGCAAAAAGGAGAAGTCGGATTAAGGGCGAAAGAGCACGCCATGTAAGAGGCCTGCTGGCACCTGACTTCCATACGTAGGCTGGATGACGTACATGAAATACTCACGGAGCCCGTGACAGCCACCAGAACATTGGGGAGCGCAGTGTCAGCTGTGGCCCTAAATGAAATGAGGGCTCTGACACTATGTGAGAAGAATGAAGCGAATCCCGAGCAGACAGCAATTTCTACTCCAGGGCACCTCTGTGGCCATCTTGCATGGGGACTTTTGCACATGTTGCGTGAACTAGGTGACGCTAAGTTATGTGACCATCTCGGGTGGTCCAGGTTCTAAGGTTATTGCTGTTTTAAGGATCAGAGCAGCATATTAAGATCTGTGGGTCAGATTCCCTTTGTGTTTATAAACATTGTCCAACTGAACGCAGTAGATTCCAGAAGAAGAAAGAATTTGATGGGTATTTCCCGTTTGGGCTAAGTAAACAGCATTGTTAGTTTTGCACAGTAAGAATTCCTATTGAGAGCTCTAATGGGTAAATTCTTCCTACTGGAAAGGGTTTCAAATTGCTGAAAGAAGTCAGAAGTATTTTCCTTAATTATTTGCTACTGTTTGTCGTGGCAGAGGAGATATTTCACCACTTTATCAGCAAATCCATCGCTCTTTTCTTTACATTAAAGCGTTTTAAAGAAAAACGGGGTCCACTGAGTTAAATGCATATCTTAAACCCAGCAAAATTCACCGGTTAAAAAAAAATCTAGAAATTTTCATGGCATATCTTTCTTTCGAATGGAAGGTAACATGAATACCATTCAGCCACGGCCTTCATGTCCATCAGTATGGCTTTGTGTTGCTGACTTTTATCTGTTACCAAATTGTGGTTGTGTATTTGCTTTCTGGTTTGTTCATGAAGTTCTGGTAATGGCTTCAGATAAACCCTTTGTGGGGTGTCACGACGGTAGATGAGACACTGGTTCCCACTCATTCCCACTTACCCTCTGTCCTATTGGGGTTTTTGCCCAAACACAATCACATGAAAACTTCCTTGCATTTCCATAAATTGATCTGAGTCGAGGTTATACGCTCGGGCAGGGAGCGGATCCCGGCGACCTTTCCTGGTTGGGCATCTGCAGACGTGGCTCCACTTCCAGCGAGAGTGTGATCACTTCGTTTCCTCACGCTTCCATTTTTCTCACTTTTAAGATCATGACAAGGTCTTTAAGAAGCCTGATGAAACCCGCACATCTCCACAGGGAGTGCGTAAATATGCACTATTTGCAAAGAATACGGAGCATATCTACAGATGGAAATAAAGTTACAAGACAATAATCTGAAACACCTTATGCAAAGTATTTGAAAACAGATGAAATGGATGATATTTTTAGTAAACTGTTAATGATCAAAATTGCCTCCAGAAAACAATAACCACACTGGAAAAGGAACGGGAAGCCGGGCGTCATCACTGGTGTGCCCAGCCGTCACCTCACTCAGCGTGACCCAGATGGCTTTACTAATGAGTCATAGCAACGGAGAGCAACCCCTTATTATACCAACTATCTCAGGAAATAAGGAAAAACTTGCTATTCATAATACGATACTAGCATAACCTTAGCACCAAAAGTTGTCCAAGAAGAGAAGACAATATAGAACAACTTCACATATGAACCCAGGTACAGATTGTCGGTAGATGGAATTCAGTTGTGTATATACTATGTATAACCATCGAATATGATTTTCCCAGGGAATGCAATGGAGGTTCAAGCTGAAAAACTAATGTAACCCATTACGTTCAAAGGTAAGAATATAAATGGTCTCAAATTCAGAAAAATATATTTCATGAAATATATGATCAAACGTATTAGAAAATTAAGATTACAGGTGAATTTCCACAATCCGATCAAATGTATCTAATAACGTGTGCAATTTTAAAAGCTGAATGGTGTTCCTCTGTATGCATATGCTATTCTTTTCTCCACGTATCGTTTTGTTCTCTTTATATCCTGTATCTCCCTTAGAATTGAGCCCTTCTGTCAGCATCTAAGGCATCCTGTCCCTGTCAGTTTATAAACTATTCTGCATCACTCCACGGGTGTCCACGCAGCAGCCTGCCCTGCCCGGCCACACCGCCTCTCAGGGGCCTTTTCTGCCTGGGGCCTTCCGCTCCCCTCCACCACGCCGCCCCCCACTCCTCTCTGCCTGGGTCTCCCTCATGCCACCACGACAGCTCTGGCTGAGGCCAGCGAGCGTCTCCATCTGCCCAAGGCCGATGGACATTCCAAGGTCCACCTGCACGCGCGTCTCTGTGCAGCTGACTTATACCCTGGATCCAGCACTTCCCGCTTTCTTCCCCTCACCTCAGTTTCTTTTTTCAGGCAAATGTTCCTTTGCTCTGGAAGGACCTCCCGTGGCTGCCCCTGGCCCCTCTGTTCCCCTCTGTGCACGCTCTCCAGCCATTCTCCCCACCAGTCCCATCAGGGAGCTGACGACTGCACGTCCGCCTCCCCTCAGCCGCCCTCTCTGCTGAGCTCCAGACCTGTCTCAGTGCGGACCTGGCGCGTCCTCCCATCCCGGGGGCTCATCGGACTGACCAGGGGCACCCACCGTCACCAGGCCACTAAGCACCCCCACCCACCTGGCCGTCCCACGAGCTGCGCTCCAGGTACCCCGAGGCCTGCTGCCCGTCCTAGCCCAGAGCCGATGCTTCCTGACGTCCTGGCTCTCCGTCCTTAGCATCTCTTCCAAGTCTTCCCCGATCTTCCAGGCGCGCCTCCATACTCGCTGTCAGACCGCAGTCATGCCACAGCACCCGGCTCTTGCCAGGCTCCCCTTTCTGGTGACCTCCCGACCATCTGCTTTCTACATTTGTGAGAGGTGATTGTTTTTTTCTCTTTTCAAATGTGAAGCCAAGAACGCCACTTCTTTGATGAAAACAATGCTCTCAGGACAAATAAAACCATTGTGACGATGCCTGGACTGCCTCTCACACCTCACCCTCCAGCCACTTGGACACATTAGCCTTCTTTGGGACCTTGAAGTGAACCCTGGAGCCGCTGTGCAGGGAGGAGCTGACCCTGTGGAGCAGGACTCGCGTCAGCAGGGCTCTGTCCAGATCTGCCCTTCGGGTGTGTCTCTTGTGGAGGTGGTTGGTGGCGCTCTGGAGAGGTCTGAAGCTGGCCACCGGGTGTGTTGGTTCTGGGGCCTCCTGGAAGGGGCTCTGGTGCAGGAGGCCAAGGTCAGCCCCTGCCGGTGCCCTGCCCAGGGCCACTTGGTATGAGCTACGAAGTGATCTGTAGATGGTTTCTGCCTGTGCTGGGTTTGGAGGCACCTGGGAGAGGCTGAGCTGTGAGCTGAGACTGGCTGCTGCTCGTGTGGGGCTCGGGGCTGCTCAGCAAGAGGCATGGGGCACGCTGAGGCCAGGTGCTGCTTGTCCGGGACTTGTGAGCCTTTGAGAGGCTTTAGGAAAGTCTGCAGTATGAGCCAAGGCAGGCTGTTTATATGGAAAAGCCCCTGGAAGCGGCGTGGGTGTGCCCGAAAGGTGGGTGGGGCGGGGCCTCAGGGAACGGGGAAGAGGAGGGCAGGCAGCCAGTGA